CATCACTCAGTCCAAGGGCAGATAGGCTGTGTTAACCCAGCATTTGGGCTCTCTGAGCAGTGCACTGGAGAATGAAGGGTAATCGGCAATCACATGAATCCAGCAATTGCTCAAATCCTAGAACCTTTATGGACCTGCCCATGTTGGCTTCGTGGCAAGAGCCAAGAGCTCTGGGACTCCACCTAGGAAGCAGTCACAGGTTGCCCTTGTGGAGACTCATCCAAACCTGGCCAAGATCACCCAGAACTGCCCCAAGCCCCAAGTAGCCAGTGGGCAGAGACCTCCACATCCAACATCAGAGCCCAAAGAAAATCTAGGAAAGCTACTGAAAGGCAAGGACCTCTAAGTCCATGGAAAGAGCACTCTGCCCTGCTCCGTGCTTGTCCACCTTGAGTGGCAGGGTTGTTATCTAAGCACTGTATGAATGTCAATCCCACCCCCAACCCCCAGGTACCACCATCATTGCCCTCCTCCCATCCACCCATCACCTTGCAACCAGTTGAGGGAACTTTCTGTCTTGATGGGCGGGCGGCTGCCAAGGCTGCGGAAGATGGTGGGCTCGTTGCCCTGAAACTTGCTGACAGTCCCCGTATACAGTTCCCCATCTGAAAGAAGAAGGCAGCCATTAGAGGGCCATGGGAAGCTTCCTGCCTGCACCACCTGGATCTTCCCACCAAAAGAGTGGACAGAAGATCCCCTCCCCCATATTGTCCATGGTCAATGAGTCCAGGGGAATTTGTCCTTCCTTGCAGGCAGCAGCCTCTCTCCCCCCACCCGAAGGCACCCAGGGTGGCCTCTTCGAGAACCCCCAAGCTCCTTACCAACCATGATGGCTGTAGATCTGTACTCCGGGTCAAAGGGGCAGCGTCCCTTCCCATCCTCCAGCAAGAGCTGCCCCGAAGGGTCTCGCTGCAGCTGGAAGGCTGGCAGGCTCTGCATGAGAGGAGGCAATGACTGGCAAGTCACTGATTGGAAAGGGCAAACCCACAAGCCCCACCAGCCTGAGCTGCCCAACTATGCACAGCCCCATTTTCAATCTGTCCTCTCTCCTGCCCTGCAAACTGATCTTCCATGCAATTTCTGCCTTGGGGAAGACCCTGGATGCAAATTCTAGCAGGGAGCCCACATGAGGAGGCTGCAGAGCCAGGCAGTTGTGCCCACCTCTCCCCACAGCGGGCAAGGCAAGGGGCGCTGTCCAGAAGGTGGCTTCAGGCTGGGTCTTCCCACTACTTTGGAAGAAGAGGGCTTGATCCTGCACAAGGCTGATTTCGGGCACAAACAACCACACATGTTCTGTCTACAAGACAGCCTGGCAGCCTCTCTAAGGAACAACTAGATAAGGTTCCAAGGAATTTGGGGAGGGAGGGTTTGGGTCCTTTGGCAGTTGCATGCCGTGACTCCAGACTATCTCTGTGCTTGATTTCCCCCTCCCCCCTCGCCAGGCTGGGTGAAAACCCTCAGCAGGGAATCACTTCAGCCTGGGGCTAAAACATTCCTTATTCTGAAGATTATCATCGTAAACTAGATTAAAGACATTCAGCTTTTCTGGAGGAGGGGGGCACTCAGAACTCTGAGTCTGTTCATGCATAATAGGCAGGACAAGCGTAACAAGGAAACCGGTTCTAATGCAAATAAAGTCAGCCTCATTATTCTGTTCCACAAAACATCCAACTATTTGCAACTACTGATGGCCTCAGGCTAGGCCTTGCTAAGCCAAAGGAGAACAACAAGGGCTGGGCGGGGGAGGGGGAGAGGTGGTCCTCACAATGTAGGTGCAGGTGGGGCTGAAGGCGCTGGTCCCGCAGGTGTATAGGTGGGTCTCATTCAGCTGCAGGAGGACCTTGATGTAGTTGTGGCAGTCTCTCTGCAATGGGAGGGAGGGAGGAAGAGGAGGCAGCTTCACTCAGGACCAGCCAGCCACAGGCAGCTCCTGCTGGGTTTGAGCTGCCCTGGGAGGAAGAGGCAAGGTCCTGATGGGTCCCAGACTCCCAGCAGAATTGAGCCCTGCTCTTCTTGCCAGAGTTTATCCCCAAGACTGGTGTTACCCACCTGAGGGTCCTTGCCCTTGAAGATGCACTGCTGTTTCTTTTCCTCCTCGGCGTGCCAGATGAGCTGCAGGAAGGAAAGCAGGCTGCCATCACTCACCTGGCCTCTCCAGGAGGATCCTTTTCTTGTAGTGCTTCTGGCTGGTTCCTTGAGCTGCCGACTCACCGGTGCTCCCCTCAAACCTCACCAAGCAATGCCAGTCTCAAGCAAATTGGCAGGCTCCGTTCCAGGTCCAGACACTGAGACGGAGGCAGCCCCGAGGCCGGCCACAAACCCAATCTTTTCTTGTTTCTACAGGCAATGGCTAGAGGCGAAACCCCAACCAGACCCTCCCCGTCACCCTCAGCGTTTCAGATATGGTGGCTGTGTAATGAGATGGCAGGCAAGGGAAGCCACGCAGTTGAAGGCTGGGAGGGAAGAGCGTTCTCACCTCTACCAATACGGCATGGCTGCTCCTTCCAGCCTGCGGACCAAAGCTTGGCCTTCTGCCCTTAGGGGCTGCTAGTCAGAAACACCACCCAGGGCCTCCTTTGACTACCCCTCTTAAGCAGAGGAGACCCAGTGACCAGGGCATCCGGACTGACCTGCTGGTGCTGGGGCCCGGGAGAGAAGGCCCTGGTGTTCAGAGCAAGAAGCATCTCGCGGGCACCAACGTACAAGGCCTGCCCATCTGGGCTCAGAATCATTGTGGTGTAGTTGGAGACTCCAGGCATCTGGAAGTTGCTCCACAGCCGCTTCCGGGGAGAATCTGGGGGTGCAAAAATGGGAGAGATGACTGTGAGTGGATGCCATGCCCAGGTAGCCTCCTGGGCATCTAGCCTGCCAACAATGACAGAGGCTACAGGATCAGGTACCTGTTTCCAACCAACAGTGAATAGCATTGTTTCCGCTCTGATTTACGTCTGTTTGACATTCAAGAAGCTGCTGCGCAAATCAAGCATCACATTCAGAGCAGTGGTGAGTTTCAAACATTTTCACTACCGGTTTGGTGGGCGGGGGATGTGTCATGTGACTGAGTGAGCTTGGCCAACTTTCATGCCCACTCAGTCACATGAGCCCCCCTCTCCCCCACCTAGCCACGCTCACCGAACCGGTAATGAAAATTTATCCTTTTCTAGCTGGGAGGCTTCTTTGCCAGCCAGCCGCTTCCCAGGAGGCCGGCGAAAAGTCCTCCGATCCGCGAAAAAGCTGCCGCTGCTGTCACCATGTTCTTCACACATGTACATCCCTTGGACTTGCAAGCCAAAAGGGGAAGGGGTGCATTAATGTCATTTAAAAAATATATATTGCATGTCTGTGATTCTAAGAGACAGATGTAGCAGATGTGAATTAAAATGCTCTGATCAAATACATGTTTTAAACATGTTGATTACATGTGTGGCAAAGAATAGAATGCAAGTCTAAAAGCACAATTGATTTGATAGTTCATGATGGAAATTTGAGAGAATGAGTGAAGGACACAAGGGCAATAAGAAAGCAGAAGTCAAGAAAAGCATTAGAAGTGAATCTTCCAAAGGACCAAAAGGAAAAGGGCAGGAAGCTGCTTGGACCATGGGGGGCGGGGGGGAATTACACTTCATGTGGCGTTTCATTTGTGGGAAGTATAAAAAAGTGAGTTAGATGGAATTATGAAATGCTAGAGAAACAAGGAAAGTAACAGATGAATCATAAAATTAAGTTGCTGTAATAATATGCAAAGAGAGAAAACAATTGTTGCAAATAAAATAGTCGAACAATACGAATACTTTAAAAAAAGAAGCAGGAAAACACAACTTGGAGGGGGGAAGGGAGGATTATTTTGGATAATGGCATTAAATGGCATTAAATGGCATTAAAAACACAGGTGATAAAATGAAACAAAATTGGACTGATTGAAGGAAAAAATTTGAGTTTTATATTGGTACTAACTGTTATTATTTCTTATACAATTGTCCCGTATCCAGGTAGTGTTAAGAAGATTGATTGCTTGTCAGGTATTTGCTACCACGGATATGTCTGTATGTTGTATATAAACCATTGTTAAGTGTCTAAGTCTCTGTGTGCTGTCTTTGCTCCTGGGTTATCTCCTCACAGTAGTCACGCTGCGAACACTCTGACAATCAGGGAATCCATTTTCTGTAGAATTGTCTGAAGTTGTAGTCCCACTACCTTCTCAACAATCTTCCCTGGGGATTGCTCTAGATTTGTCCAAATCGAAGACCAATTCTGGACAAATTTGTCCACATTCATTGTGGATGGCATTTTTATGTGTGGGCTCACCACTGCCCCCTCCCCCGCCCTCTCCCTGGAGCCTTCCGAATCTTGATTCAATGGGGTACTGCCAGGACTGCACAGGAGGCTGGTACTTCCTTGGGAGGAAGCTCATCCCAGGCCACCTGGGAAATCAAAGCCTCAACGGCCAGACCGAACCAGGAAACTGATTCCACAGACTGACCAGGACTTTGCTTGGCTGTCGGAGGCTCCAGTCACAGACTCTTGCAAGCCTGCCTGAACTTCCTCTCCCTCCCTCTGACCGTCCAGCTAGTCAAGGAGGAGCCAGCAGAAGACCTGCCTGCTGGAGGGGTTTAATGCAATCTAAGGGCTTCCGGGTACCTTCTCCAAGGTCATCTCTCTGGCTGAGCACTCAGGGCAAAAGGCTGAGAATCTCGGCTCCTTGTACAGTATTGGTATTATGGCTTTCTTTTTCCCTTTTTTCAACTTGTATTCCCCCAACCATAAATCAGTCATATAAGTAAATATGCAGAGAATATGAAGGTTTCACCACACTTATTACCGTTGTGTGCATATGTGGAGAGGCAGTGTGCTGTGGCGATTAAAGACGCTAGGCTAAAAACCAGCAGATCCTGCATCCCAAGCCCACCTGAGGCTCAAAGCTTCTGGGCCAGTCACAATCTCTCAGGTCTTGGAAGAAACAGGCAAGGGAAAGCCACTTCCAAAAACACTTGCCCAAAAACCTGTAGGGTCTGCCCCAAGCAGTGGCTGGCAGCAACTCTGACTTGAGGGCAACAAAAAGGGGAGGCTGCATATGGGGTCCTATCTGTCTCGGTCTGATCACCGGATGCTAGCAGTGCCCTAGGTCTGGATGCTGAGTCATGGCATCTGGACTTTTTTTGGGGGTGGGGGGGGGATTAAAAAGCTTCACTGCTTACCCAAGTAGCTTTTTCTGCCTGAACAAGTTGGTTAGGGGGACCCCATATATGTCTTCCAGACCAGAGGTGGTATTCAATTGGTTCGCACCGATTTGCGCAAAACAGTGGCGGCCATTTCCCTGAGGTCGGAGAACCAGTAGTGATGGCCAGCTGGTCCCCATCACTGGATGTTCACCCCACCTCAGCTTCAGGAGATGCGGGGAAAGGGGCAGCGGCCTGCATGGCTGTGAAGCTTGGCAGGCCATTGGCCCTGTCCCCAGCAGGCTAGCGTCTCCCAAAGCTGCCAGCCATGGCACAGACAGGGAGGCAGGGGCAGCAAGCTTCGCAGCTGCCTCCATCTCCACCAGGCTAGCATCTCCTGAAGCCACCAGCATTGTAGTAGCTGTTGCTACTGGCATGCCGCAGTTCCAGGAGGGTGGAGAGCCCTGGAAACCTCTGCCGCCACCACTGCTGCTGCTGTTACCAGCTGTGCCAGGCAAAGTTCCGGAGCAGTGGAGAACCCTGCCTTGCTATTCTCAGCCTGCTTGTTTTGTGGAGTGAACTGGGAAAATGATAGCGGGAGTCCCTGGAGAAGGAGCACGCAAACAGGAGTCTTTGTTCCTTGCCAAGCTGATGGCGTCTCATCAGAAAAACAGAATTCAAGCATACCTGGAAATAAACAAGATCGGCCCCTTTTTGAGGTTTACCTGTTGCTGAATGATTCAAGTCATTAGTTGCCTATTAGCAATCAGATAGATCCTTCCCCCTCCCCCCTCTGACACACATTCTTTTTCTGTGAGCTGCTTCTTTCCCTTTCCAATGGGGGGGAGGAGAGAGGGAAGGAGAGAGAAGAAAGAAAGAAAGAAAGAAAGAAAGAGGAAGAGAGAAAGAAGGAAAGAAAAAGAGAAAGAAGGAGGAAGGAAGGGGAGAGAGAGATAGAGAGAAAGAAAGAAAGAAAGAAAGAGGAGGAAGGAAGCACCACAAACTCTGGCACTAGACATGGCTTCAGAAGATGCTTTGAAACAGCACAGCAACCTTGGAGGCCATCTAGTCCCACTCCCTGCTGCAGCAGGAAACCTTACATTGTCTGGATTATTTGGTGCCTCTAACAGAGAGGAAAATTGCCAGAAA